GGTACCGGGTGGGGACGTACTCCTTCGTGAAGGCTCGATCAAAGCGATCCCAGGTCCATGGCTTGGGCGTGTGTGGATCCTGGTCAATGCGCTTCCACCAATCATATGCTCCCTTCCGGAACATCTGTGACGCCAACTCCGAGCGATCTGCATCAGGGACTCTCAAATTCTTGAGTACCCGGTCCATCTGCTCAAGCCAATCCAACGCAATCTGGGGCTCCCCCATCTTGTCTCCTCGAAACTCTTCCGCTCCATTATCCTTCAACGTCTTGAAGGTAACGATGCGCGGCTGCGGCTGTGGTGGCGGCGGCTGGAACATGGGCATAAGCTGCGCCATGTGCTGCATATAATGGGCCATCATGGCCGGGAACATCTGCTCGTAGGCCACCTGCAGTATCGCCAACAATGGCATCACTGGAGGTGGTACGACTGGCGGTGGTACAGCTGGTGGCTGTCCCGCTGGCTCAGGTTGATTCTGTTGCTGCCCTCCGTCACCCGGAGGCGTGAAACTCGAACCCTCGGTGTTCACCGTGTGCACGCTCACGTGCTCCGGCTCCGGAATGTACTGACCATGGGTCGATTCTTGACTAATTCTAAAATAATAAGAAAATTCCCAAGTCAGATCTTAACATATAACAGATAAAGCTATAAATACTTATTACCTTACCGGGGCAGAGGAGTTACGTGAGATGCAGATGCGGCTGAATTATTCATTGTATTTTATTTTGAAAGGGTCCAAAGACCGATTTTAAAACCAAATGCTCCGATACCAAAATGTAACACCCCAACCCGCATAACCCAAACCCGTGAGACAGCGGACCGGTGTGCCACTGGATTGGTATCCGAATATACAACATTTTCAAAAAATTTTAAACAAACATTCTATCAATACATATAAAAATCCATCGGAGTAATTTAAAATAATGCAGAAGCCTTTTTAAAGTCAAACAACTTGGGATCTTGCCCGAAAACGTAATAAGCATTAAAGTTAATTAAATAAAGCATAACTATAGATTAAAGAGACAGCCACGCCATCGTACATCTCCTCCTCAACGCCCTCTGGGATCGGCTCTAGGTTCATCTGTCTGATCACCTACGGACAGCAAAAAGGAAAACAACGCTATCCGCTCAGCATTGACGCTGAGTGGCACTCCATTGTAGCACAAGAATAAACATAATAATTCAATGATTAAGATCGCGCATATGTTTATCCTTTTAATAAAAATCAATTCAACTTTAAATTCGATTCATTAGACGGTTGACCAATAGTCAACTTATTTTCTTTCTTTTCAAAACGATTTAGGTGTTAAGGGTTCCTCATTAACTCTTTGACCACCGGTCAACCCAATTTAGACTTTCACGAAAGTCAAACCACTCAACATTTATTGCCTATGACGGAGATAGCCTCAATCCGTAATACCGAAGATAGCCTCAATTCGGTGGAGGTAGGATCCCTCGGGCGATGGCCTCAAACCCAAGATCACAGACCCTCGTGCGCACCTCTTAACCTCACTCACCAGGCCCTGCAGTCGCCCGAGCAATGGCCAGTTTCTATGTTCGACATAATAAACCAATTGATCCTAATTACTGATTAGAATTAATTAATTAACTTAATTAATTCATTAAAGTCTTGGATTTAACCATTAGGTCAAACCTACGTCAACAGAATATCAAGTCAAAGCCCAAGTCAAACAGGACCTAACCCAAGTCAAAGTCAAACCTGTTCAGTCAATTCACAATCCTCAACAATTCAATTCAAACAATCAATTTAATTCAATTAACCAATTTAGCCAAATTATAGCATAAACATATATAACGATCCAAACCATTAAATCTATTCTGAACGCTATTAACTTCATAGTACGGACCTGGATTACGCAGAAATCGAATCGATAGCTCGAACGGAAAACAAATCAACGAAATCAAACGAACAACGGGTCAAATTGAGCCAAAACACGAAATCGACCAATCAATCTGGTGGTGACCGGCGTTCGGCGTGGCAGCGCTGCAACTCGACGGCGAGGATGGCGGACGCCGGTAGTGGAGGCGGCGTACAGTGGCGAGGCGGCAGCAGCTCCCAGAGATCACGAACAGAGGAGCAGCTCCGGTGATAGCCTCTGTCTGGCGGAGTCCCTAGCTGCAACAGTGGCGAACCGGCGATGTATCAGTCCGGTGAGTCGCAGCGACCTGGCGTGGCGCTGCTCCAGAGATCCAATTGCAAAGGAAATTGCGAGGAAGATGAAGATGGGATGAGGGCTAACCTGGAGTGGCGACGTGGTGTTTGGGTTGCGCGGCGATTGAGCGAGGTTGGCTGGTGCAGCGAGGAGGCGGAGGCTATGCGACGCCGGCGTGGTCGAACGGCAGGGGGGATGACCGGCGATCGAAAATGAAAAAGAAGAAAGTGATGATGAAGATCGCGGCTCTCAGATCTAAACGGAAGAAGATAGGTTTAGGTTTTATTTAATGATCCCATTCCTAAAAGGATTGGGCTTCGGACCCAAAATACCTGATTAAACGGCCAAAACATGAGCTCCAAAACTCCGATTCGCCAGCCGTCTGAACCGACGCGATCACAAAAATATTTCCTACGAGATGACATAAAAGTTGGGCTTAGAATCCAAATTATAATTTTAACCCCTTTTTGGGCCCAATTCGTAATCAATTGCTCTAACAATTTAATTAATTCTTTTGGGCGAGATTTCGGGGCGTTACATAGATACTAGCCAATGACCCCCGACCAGCGCGACGCCGAGTGGGAAGAGATCCTTTGGGGGTGCTAAGGGTACCCAGAGCTTAGAGAGGACCAAGTCCGCACCGACTCAGTCGCAGGCGGCGAGCAACCGGAGCAAGCCTTCCAGGCACCCAGTATGCAACCTCTGTGGAAGAAATCACCCTGGTGACTGCTGGTTCACGCAAGGCTTATGCTTAGGTTGTGGGAAGGAAGGACACTTCCATAAACTGTCATACCAATCCAGGACGTGCTTTCCCCATAGCAGAGGTGCAGACACAGACAGCTGGACAGAGGCCAGCGTAGAGTCAGAGGTCTACTACGGGCTCAAACCCGCCGAGAGGACAGAATCAGAACCAGATCCGTCAGTAGGGATGCATGCCTGCATGCACTTACGCCATGCAGGGGCGTACTAAAGTGAATCGCGATGTCATCTTGGGTATGTTTTCATTATTCGACACTCCTATGCTTGCATTGATTGATTGGATCTACGTTTTCTTACATATGTGTTCCTATGCCTGAGAAATCTGAGATCTAGAGAGGCGATCTGGAATATCCTATGGTGGTATCTAATCCGTTAAGTCATAGCATGCGAGTTCACCACTTGTACCGCAACTGCCCATTAATGGCGTAGGGACACCGTTTTTCTGCGAACTTGATCTAGCTACCATACAAGGAATTTGATATTATCCTTGGTATGGATCGGTTTACCGAGCGTCAAGAGATAATTGACAGCGGTTTGCGCACCGTACGACTGAAGACCGATGAAGGTGATATCGTAGAAGTTAAGGGGGAGCTGTTCCCAAAGCCTCCAGAATTTATGTCCTATATGCAAGCAAAGCGACTTATCTCGAAGAAGTGTGAGGCATTCTTGTGCCACGTTCGCGATACCAGAAAGGAGACCCCCAAGCAGAAAGATATCCCAACGGTTTGTGACTTCCCCGATGTGTTTCCGGATGATCTCCCCGGCTTGCCACCGCCAAGGGAGGTGGAGTTCTCGATCGATCTGGTTCCTAGAACGGAGCCAATTTCGGCAACACCTTACCGCATGGCACCGGCGGAGATGAAGGAACTGAAGGCTCAGTTGCAAGAATTATTGGACAAGGGATTCATCAGGCCGAGTGTGTCACCGTGGGGAGCGCCAGTCCTCTTTGTCAAGAAGAAAGATGGATCCATGAGGTTGTGCATCGACTACAGGCAGTTAAACAAAGCCACAGTGAAGAACCGCTGCCCATTACCGCGGATTGATGATTTGTTTGACCAGCTCAGAGGAGCTACGGTGTTCTCGAAGATAGATCTTCGATCGGGTTACCATCAGATCCATGTGAAGAAGGATAACATACCGAAGACAGCTTTCCGGACGCGATATGGACATTATGAATTCACGGTGATGCCGTTTGGGTTGACGAATGCTCCGGCAATTTTCATGGATTTGATGAACATTGTCTTCCGTCCCTACCTGGACCAGTTTGTGGTAGTGTTCATCGACGACATCTTGGTGTATTCTCGGACACCAGAGGAGCACGCGGGACACTTGCAGACAGTACTTGGTGTGCTAAGGGAGCACAAGCTCTATACCAAGCTGTCAAAGTGCGAATTTTGGCTCGATGAGGTCACGTTCCTTGGGCATGTGATCTCCCATGAGGGCATCAAGGTTGACCCTAGTAAAATATCAGCGATAACGGAGTGGAAGACTCCGAGGAATGCGCGAGAGGTGAGGAGCTTCCTCGGCTTAGCTGGTTATTACCGGCGCTTCGTAGAGGGCTTCTCATCCGTAGCATCGCCATTAAATAAATTACTGAAGAAGGAGGTAGAATTTGCATGGACAGACGCATGTTAGCAAAGTTTTGAGAAACTCAAGAAGTGTTTGACCGAGGCACCGGTGTTGGTACACCAGTGCCTGGCAAGGATTATACCATTTTCAGCGATGCATCTCACAGTGGACTTGGTTGTGTGCTTATGCAGGAGGGTAAGGTAGTGGCCTACGCCTCCCGGTAGTTGAAGCCTCACGAGAGTAACTACCCTACGCATAATCTGGAGTTAGCAGCGGTGGTTTTCGCATTGAAAATTTGGCGGCACTACTTATTTGGTGAGACTACTTACATCCACACAGATCACAAGACCTTGAAGTACCTGCTAACCCAAAAAGAGTTGAATCTGAGACAACGAAGATGGTTGGAGTTGATCAAGGACTACGATTGCTATATCGACTACCATCCAGGCAAGGCCAATGTCATGGCTGATGCCTTGACTCGGAAGACTATGGCTGAACTACGACTCCAGCCGACGTTGGATAATGAGATCCGCACGGCCCAGTTTACATATGACTTTTGTGTGAAGACTCGTGAGCTTGTCTCTAAGGGGGAGAGACAAGACTTCACTATCGATGGCAGTGGGGTGTTGCGCTATAGGGGTCGCTTGGTGGTACCGAACGGTGAAGTGAGAGAAGGGCTGCTACTAGAAGCTCATGAAACCATGTACACCATGCACCCTGGCAGCAACACGATGTACCAGGATCTCAAGAAAGCTTACTGGTGGCCGACGATGAAGCGAGAAATTTCAGAGTTTACGGTTAAGTGCTTGACGTGTCAGCAGGTCAAGGTAGAACATCAGGTGCCGAGTGGGCTACTACATCCATTAGTTATCCCTGAGTGGAAATGGGAGAGGATCACGATGGACTTCGTGATAGGCTTACCCCTGTCGAACAAGAAGAACGATGCAGTATGGGTCATAGTGGACCGATTAACTATGTCAGCTCACTTCCTACCTATCTGACGAGACTTTTCCTTGCAGAAGTTGGCTGAGCATTATATTCGGGAAATTGTGAGACTACATGGAGTGCCTGTGTCTATCATCTCCGATCGCGACCCGAGATTCACATCCCAATTCTGGAAGAGTCTGCAAAAGGCTCTTGACACTAAGCTCAATTTCAGTACAGCATTCCACCCTCAGACGGATGGCCAATCTGAGGGAACGATCCAGATTTTGGAAGACATGATGAGAGCTAGTGTCATCGATTTCGGTGACGGTTGAGAATGTTATGTACCGTTGATGGAGTTCGCCTACAACAACAGCTACCAGGCTAGTATCCAGATGGCACCGTACGAGGCACTGTACGGGAGACGTTGTAGAACCCCGGTCTATTGGACCGAGCTAAGTGAGCCCAAGCTCGAAGGACCTGACCTTGTTCGTGATGCAGAAGAGAAGGTTCGCTTAATACGAGACAGATTACGAATTGCTTCGGATCGGTAGAAGTCTTATGCTGGTCTCAAGCGTAGAGAAATTGAATATAATGTGGATGACTGGGTGTTTCTCAAGGTTTCTCCGTGGAAGAAGGTGTTGAGGTTTGGCAAGAAAGGAAAGTTAAGTCCTAGGTTCATTGGACTATATCGGGTCCTTGAACGAGTAGGACCAGTGGCTTATCGGTTAGAGTTACCTCTAGAGTTACCAAAGATCCACGACGTATTCCAAGTATCGATGCTAAGAAGATATCGACCAGACCCGTCACATGTTTTACTTGAGGGAGCAGTCACCCTCGATGAGAGTCTTACCTATGAGGAAGAACCCGTACAGTTCTTGGCACGTGAAGTGAAAGAACTGAGGAACAAGACAGTTCCCTTGGTCAAGGTGCTTTGGCGAAACCACGCGGTGGAAGAAGCAATCTAGGAGACCGAGGAGTCCATGAGAGCTCAGAATCCTCAACTCTTCAGTAACCAATGACTCAGGTAAATTTCGAGGACGAAATTCTTTTAAAGGGGGAGAGAAATGTAACGCCCTGATACCCGGCCTATCAGAAATAATGAATTAGAAACAATTAATTAATTATTGAGACGGACTCGGTGAAAGTTATAGATACTCTTCGTTTGACATTAAAGATTATACCATTGTGTAGGGTTCGACGAATTGAATCTAACAGTGAAATCGGATTTGGATTTGGAGCCAGTAGGCCCGGGAAGTGCGTTTGGGCCAGGTACGTTCAGTTAATACGGAGCCCAAAACCCCAAAAGTATAAATATACTCCCTACACGTCCAAAACCCTCACGCCACACCATATTTACGTAACCCCCTCCCCACTCTCTCACGTCACTCTCTCTCGTCTGTCTCGATCGATGCCGTCGTTTATGGGTATTGTTTCGTAGCTTTTAATCGTTTTCCCTCCTCTCTGCCGGTACTTGTCACCAAGCGGTACTTGTGTACTGGGCTGATGGTAGGCCCTACCGCCAAGTCGGTAGGGGCTACCGTGACATGCCTACCAGAGGGGAGTTACAGCTATGACACACGGTATGGTGGTACCGTGGGGTCGGTGCCCCCTACTGCCAAGGGTACAGTGAGGTACCTAAGCTGGTGAGAATTTGTAACGCCCCAAAAACCGGTCTAGTTGTTTTTGATAAAAAGATAATTGTTTGGTGATTGTACCCGTTTAGATTGGAAATAAAAATAATAAATTTAATAATTATATCACTTAAATCAGATTGACATATTAATCCTGAAAATAATGGCAAAAATATTCTTGGAATAAAATTTGAACTAAAACAAAATTTATTGAAATAAGTAAATTAAAAAAAAGAGCAAGTTGATCTTATCTTATTTATATTAGCCGACTTTGCATCAAGATAAGGATAATCCTATCCTATCCATATAAGAAACCTTATCAGCTAAGAAATTACTAATATATACGTACATTCGTAGTGGCATGAATATAAACCACTACTACAAAAAAGACCTTTTAAATCGGTTATTTTTACCCTTTTAAATCGGTTTTGAACCGATGCAAAAGCCAGCGATGCAAATACTCAGATTACTTTTTGCATCGGTTGTTAAAACCGATGCAAAACCCTGTCCAGAAATGGCGCCAATTCTGCGAAGAGGCCTTTTAAATCGGTTATTACCAAAAATTCGATGCAAAAGCCCCTTCCCAGAAATGGCGCCATTTTAGGGAAGAAGCATTTGAATCGGTTATTTAGTAAGAACCGATTTAAATGCCTTAGCTTTTGAATCGGTTATTAACAAAAAACCAATGCAAATGCCCTTCTCTTGGAAGCGGCTTTTGGATCGGTTATTTGGTAATAACCGATGCAAATGTTTATTCTTTTGAATCGGTTATTACCAAATAACCGATTCAAATATATAAAATTTTCAAAAGCCCTATTTTGTTTCTTCCCGAACCACTCCATTTCACCTTTGCAGAGAATTCAACTCATCAACAAAATAGTAACCAACAGAAATGCATTCACAAAACTCAAATGCCACAAAACAAATTAAACCAAAAAAGTAAACATTTACATCCACGCCACTTGTACATGTTAAAAAATATAAGAGTAAAACTACTACGTACACTTCTAAGTTTTAACAGCACAACTAAAAGCCAAACAACTACATTGTACTCTACTAACTTACATTTAATTATACTACACAATACAACACAAATGGAACTTACACAAGTTCATCGAGAAAACCCCCCGCCCAAAACTCTCTAACCTCCTCTAACTCGGCTCTAGTATAAGGCATAGTAGACTGAAATACCTGCAATAATACGAAAACAACATACGACATAAAGTTTAATAATCATTACCCTACACTTCATTACCTTTAAAAACACTAAAACAAACTTACATCGGATAACGGTACAGAACATTGTGCACACATATTGACGATTAGACAACCAAATCGCATGGTATAGTAACCACACTCAACGTTCCCTTCTTGTTGGGGTACTCCGGGAACATCAACTCAATCCGGTCGAGCCTTAAGCAGGCATTTGCTGTTCCCAAAGTAACCGCCAAGACCTTTAATATATGTAAAAAACAAATTATCAATAAATTAATATCTTAACAAATAAAAAATTTCATTAATAAGAAATAAGTTTCTTAATACTCACTCGTTGACGAAAGTCTTCACCTTCATTTTCTTATGCCATCCGGTCGACTTGATTGAGTTTAGGAAATACACTTTGTTTTCAAACAAACATATTACAACTAACACCCAATGTCTCCTATAATTGAAAAAGCGTTAGTCACTAACTTAAAATAAAAAACCAAAATACATATTGGAAATGATTTAGAAAACATACAGTGTCGATAGATAAAACGGCATAGGTATCTAGGGTCGCGATTGATAGGTCTCGAGTGCTCTATCCAGATACTGGCGATCTCCACAATCTACCACGTATGCCATGTTCTCTGGACATAACAACCCGACAGACGCAATGCCCTGCTCCATCATATGATCGTGCAACAATCTAGTAATTTCACATTAAACAATAATTACCTTTATAAGAAATAATTATAATTATAATAGAAATTTATTCGTACGTAGTGCTTGACATACCTCAGGAAAACAATGATGATGGTCTGATCGACCTCCTCCCGTCGCATGAACTCACATATATTCTCCGGACGCATCCTCAGCTCCGTCTCCTCCAGATAGAGCATGGACTCGGGATTGAGAATGACGCCGATGGTAGGCAAAGTAGATGTGCGTGTCAGCCACTGACACAACTCTCTGCACCTCGGCCCGAATGCGACGTATGAGCTCCGGTCAACAACATCCTGGACGGGAGAGCTAGGAGCAGTGGGACGTATGCCGAGAATGGGACGAGATTTGCATGATGAGAAGTCGCCATGTCGAGCCGTCTGCACCGGGGGCTACAAATATTTTCAAAAAATGATATATGAAACACAGCTCAAATGATGTTGAATAAAAAAGAACTAAATTTATTTACTTCTTACATCTCCAAGGCCCACCAACGACTTTGGCCATGCAACGAAGCTCCCCTCGCAATTTGCCACAGTCTCTATATGCTCAGTCGGACAAGGAATGGTATATTCACCCATTCCAGGAAGCACAATGGTCAAAAAGACCTTAACCTGGTGGGGAAGGAGGGGAACACCGTGCACCATATCTCCCAGTGCACGTGGAAAAACTGATCCATGTGCCACTATGTAATCCCCTGGATCAGAGATCCTCAAGTAACAAGCAGCAACCTACAAAACACAATTAGTAAACTAATGTCGGAAACAAGTAAATATAAACTCAACTTGAAACTTTAATTACAAAATAAATGTACCTTAGTGACACCGGCGCAGTCAATAAAATCTGTAGACGCCTTGCTACTACGCTGCCCATAATGAGGTGGTACAGACGGTGTGTGCTGCAACATGGATGCCCCTTCTGGAGCACGCTCGGACACAGATAGTCCATACTGCTGCAGAAGGGAAGGAAGACGCTGCAAGAGATCCTCCTTTGCAAAAGATCCTATAGAAGATGCAAATATTTACCGATACGCGAATTTTTTTGTACATTTAGATCGGTTGTTTTGCTGACCGATGCAAATGAGGTGATCGATTTGGTCATTTTTGTAGTAGTGAACACATAAACTTACATACTCTATGTCATATTAAATATATGAACATATACCTGTGTATACATATTATCAACACATACATATATACATTAAGTTTGATATATACACATAAAGTCTATAAACATAGTATATGGGTGTTTAAATTAATTAAAGTACAGAGTACACTACATGAGGAGGAATCATCAGATTTTATTTAGTTCGTTCTTATATTGATATATCCATTTCCAAACACCGAGGTGAGTACCGCCGCCCTTATAACAATTGTTACTTAATATAGTACGTTAATATATGTTATAGTTGTTATATATATTCAATTGATTTAACTTCCGTCACTAATAATCGGGAAAGTCGCCAGCTTTCATTTTAAACATGTTTTCAAAGAAGAGTATGTTCCAGATATATACAGGGAAGCCAAACGCAAACAATTCACGGAATTGAGGCAGAATGGACGACCTCTAATCGAATACCGGCAAGAGTATGATCATTTGGCTGAATATGCAACAGACCTAGTAAACTCTACCGCAAGAAGGTGTGAAACGTCTGTTGAAGGCCTAGATCACAAGTTGGGACTAGCGATGGTTACAGTCGACTATACCACTTTCAACGTAGTTTACGCAAAGGTGGAACAAGCTGAAGAAAGAATTGCAGCAAAGAAAGTCTTAGAGAAGAAAGTAGCCTCTAGAACGTCACCTGAATCCATTTCGCCTCTTACATCATCTAAGGAAAGAAGATTTTCTAGAAACATAGACTTTCCACAAAACAAAAAGACCATGACCACATCTAGTGTTGTGATAAGAAGTCCATCTTTTACTTATCCTTTATGTCCTCATTGTCATCGTCATCACCCTGGAGAATGTTGGTATATGATGGGAGCATGTTTGGGATGTGGTCAAAATGGTCATTTCCAACAGAGTTGTCCAATCAACCCATCAGCATCAACACCAACTCTGAAGGCATATGTCAACCAACCAAATAGAGATAAAGGAAAGCAAAAGGCGTTTGAAAGTACCAACCACGAAAAAACATAGACACATACACAATGAAAGCACGTGAAGAGGCCCCCCCCCCCTCAAATGACGCCAATGGTGGTACGCTTACTTTTTGTGATTCCAACATAATTATCCTTTGACCTATTCAAACGCGTATTTGATACGTGCATCATTTTCGCGGTGCAGAGTTAGAAAATTTCGAGGACGAAATTTCTTAAGTTGGGGGAGAATTGTAACGCCCCAAAAACCGGTCTAGTTGTTTTTGATAAAAAGATAATTGTTTGGTGATTGTACCCGTTTAGATTAAAAATAAAAATAATAAATTTAATAATTATATCACATAAATCAGATTGACATATTAACCCTAAAACTAACGGCAAAAATATTCTTGGAATAAAATTTGAACTAAAACAAAATTTATTGAAATAAGTAAAGTAAAAAAAGAGCATGTTGATCTTATTTTATTTATATTAGCCGACTTTGCATCAAGATAAGGATAATCATATCATATCCATATAGGAAACCTTATTAGCTAAGAAATTACTAATTTATATACATAGATTCGCAGTGGCATGAATATAAACACATCAACTTACATACTCTATGTCATATTAAATTTATATACCTGTGTATACATATTATCAACACATACATATATACATTAATTTTGATATATACACATAAAGTCTATATACATAGTATATGGGTGTTTAAATTAATTAAAGTACATAGTACGCTACATGAGGAGGAATCATCAGATTTTATTTAGTTCGTTCTTATATTGATATATCCATCTCCAAACACCGAGGTGAGTACGGCCGCCCGTATAACAATTGTTACTTAGCTTAATATAGTACGTTAATATATGCTATAGTTGTTATATATATTCAATTGATTTAACTTCCCTCACTAATAATCGGGAACGTCGTCGGCTTTTATTTTAAACATGTGTTACGTCCAAATTGTCTAAAATATTCCTCAAAAGGATTCTATGATGGTTATATATGAAAGGTAACCATGCAAGGATAGGCAGCGGAAATTAAAAATTTTAACATCCTAACATGATTATCTTGCCCAGAATCACGTACTAAAACTTATAGTAGTAAGAAATTTGTACCTTTCTTCGTAAGCGGTAAAAACGAAGAAGTCGTAGGAAGAGCGTTGAAAGTGCAAACGTAACCGTTCAAGCGTCCGGTCTCCAACTTTGACACACGAACAACGCCGGAGTCTACCACAATCTTTATGCTAGTAAAGATTATAGTAGTATAAAATATAAAGATTAAAATTTGGGATAATAATAATCTTGTATATTTCTATAGAAAATATTTCCAATAATATTTAGAAAATATTATAGATATTTTCTATACACAAAATGATATATGTGGAACCAAAATAATATTTTCTCTCACTAAATTGTAATGGCCGAAACTCAAAGCAAAAAAAAATGATTTTTTTCTCCACTTGTTTTAATGGTGCGTGAGGTGCATATATAGAAAACAAATATTAATCTTTGTCATTAGCTAAATGAAAAATCAATTAACTCCACTAAGTAATCAATCAATGAAATTTTATTCTTCACAATCTCATCATGGCCGAATGAATGATATGAGAAGGATTTTCAAAATTCTTCTCCACTCAAATGTTCAAAGTGTATTTTATTTGACACCAAAAATTAATATAAAA